ACATATATGTATATATACACATACATGTTTATATATATATATATACATATACATACACATGTATGAAGTATTCTATGTATATGTATATGTATATGTATATGTATATGTGTACATGTACATGTACATGTACATGTGTATATATATATATATACACATTTGTATGTAATTACAATCCTAGCCTAAACCCAATACCCTGAACTTTCAGATCTTTGGGGGCAAGTCCCGGCCGGGTCTTTCCGAGGAGACAACGACGACCCCTCTCTGAGGAAGGTGCTGATCCAAGGCAGCAAAGAGCAGATTGCCAAGCGAGGGCCCCAGTACTTTAGGGTTTAGGGGCAAAGTGGAGTCTCAAGCAGGACGAGGGGCTAAACCGTAAACCCTGAACGCAAGGTCGTAAACCTGAGACCCTAAGCCCTAAACACTAAGCCTTAAACCCCGGACCTGCAATCTTGAACCCCGGACCCTCAACCGTCGGTCTTTGGTGCCTGAGTTTGAAGGCTTCGGGCTTGCGGCTTCAGGCTTCCTGCCCAGTCTCGAGTCGGTTTAGGGTTTAGGGTTTGGGGTTTGGTACTACAGCCTCTTGTCGCCAGTATTAAGGACTCTGAGGACTGTCATGCGATAATGATGCTAGAGATGATTTTATAGCTTTATTCAACTATAGTACAATATTTGTTAGGGCTCCTTGTGATCATTCCCATAGAATCTACGTGAAACTTTATTCTGACAGTTAAGGCACCTATACTGCCGCCTACCTTAAATCCCAAACCCTAAACCCTAAACCCTAAACCCTAAACCCTAAACCCCTAAACCCTAAACCCTAAACCTAAACCCTGAACCCTAAACCCTGAACCCTAAACCCGCCCCGAGGTGCAAGGAGGCCATCAACGGTGTCCTCATGGGCGAGGAGCCCAAGGACCGGCTTCGCGGGTTTGGTTCAATTTCCGAGGCCTTTCTAGGGATCTTTAAGGGGATCTGTAAGGGTTCGATAAGGGATCTATACGGGTCCTACGATAAGTGTCAATAAGGGTTCTATAAGGGATCTGCAATAAGGGCTCTATAGGGGATCCATAAGGTTTGTCAGGGTGGTATAAGGGAGAGGCCTGAGTGACCAGTAGTAAGCAACAGCATTACGGCCCCCATAGTGGGATGTGAGCGTATTTAAAGGGGGCATTCAGAGGCCACCCTTGTCAATAGAAGTGTAGAGACATTACTTGTCTCATGTGCTCCTTACTTAAATGCCTTCTTTGCAACAGTTTGCTGAAGGCAATACCCGACCAAACGGCCCGTGCAACCGCGAGAGATCGAGAGGACGTGTTGGCGCAGATTGATGGTGCAGTCATCATCAAGAACTTCGGCCTGCATTCTTCGAATCTTCAAGGATGGGTATATTATACTATAGTTATAATAAGGAACCCCCAAAATACTGTTGATGATATAAATCCTGCATTTCCTTAAGGATCCTAAACCATGGGAATTATGGTATACTCCTTGTTATGGGTAATGCAGGACCTAAAACATCAACCGTAGTATTGGTAATTAGGCCGCTATGTTAGAGCTTTTGGGGTTTTGGTCTCGGACGTAGGGAATTTGGGGTTTGAAATTGTAGCGGTTTGGATTTTAGGGTTTAGGGTATTCGGTTTTCAGGAAGTAGGTTTTCTCAAAGCGTCACACCCTCGAACCCCAACTGTGAAACGAGTGCACAAGTCCCTAGCCTTCGTCTTGGGTTTAGTTTCGAGGGTTTGGGGTGTAGGGTTTAGGGTTGCAGTCAGTTGTAGAGAGAGTAAGCATATGCACAGACATGCCATGCACACTGTACAGACGAGCAGGAACCGGCAAAATCGAGAGTTAGATTCATGCAGGCGGAGTCCGAGTCAATTTCACAAGATACAAATTACATTCGCGAGCCCGCAAGCCGTAAACCACTGCTCTCAAAGTCTTGCTGAACCCTAACCTCGAATGCACGGGAACCAAAAACCCATACTATACCCTATGCCACGTAAATGAACCCGAAACCATAAACCCTAAAGGCAACAGCCTGAACTCTAAAGCCCTAGAGAACCCAACAAGGACAGTCGAGGGAACCCTAGCACCCACCGCAGAAGCCAGAAAGTTGGAACATCATTATCCCTTTTTCAAGGTGAAGGAGAGGAAACTCCAGAGTGAGTTTTCTGGGG